CTTTAGTACGAAGAAAAGAAGTCGATGTAAGTATTAAATTTCTTCTCCGTAAGACAATAGTGGCCCGTATTAATGATTACGGTTCTAGGCAATTGCCCCAAGATACGACTTTTGGGTATTTGAGTTCGCAGCACAACAAGCCTCGAAGTACAAGCAAACAAAACGAGAGCCTTGGAATTTCTAGATACTGTTGGCGCCATATTTCCGGCTATTGAAGATCGAAGAAATCCGCCAAGTTTTGGAATTAAAAGATTGGCAAAGATTTGTTTTCCATATTTATTTTGGAATTTATTAGAGTCCTATTCTTATAATACTTCTATTAGGACTTAGATTTATTTCCATGTATTTTATTCTAGTTAGGTATCTTTTGTACTTATCTAGAATAGAAGTAGAAATCAACTAGGATTCTGTTACCTAGTTAAATAGATATCTTGGGCTTCAAGTTAGGTCTTAGGGCTTATTTTCGTGGCTATATAAGCCTCCAAGACATACAAGAACCGTGTGCATTATTTGGGTGAAAAACCACTTCATAGCATCGAAGTTTTGCCAAGGCGTTCTGCGGAGCAGGACTGTGCCATCGTTGCACTGTGCCAACATATACAAATTTGCTGTATAGATCTCAAGGGAGATCAGCCGCGTTTTCTGAAGGGAGTTCAGGCTTGAAGAAAGTTCAAGGCACGCGGAGTGGAGCTACTAGAGAGAGACACGGAATTCGAGTTGTGTACAAGAACGGCATATTACATAAAGAGGGAGTCTTTAGTGTTTTTAATAAGTCCTATTAATGTACACTGTAAATCTGAACTAGTGAAATCGTGTTTGCAGGTCCACGTGGATGTAGGGCACATTTGTGTCTGAACCACATTAATTCCTTGTGTTCATTTATTTGCTTTAAGTAGTTTATAACTGTGTTAACACAAGAATTATAGTTGTAACCGAATACTGTTTCCACAACTTAACTGTTACAACTTAGGTTAATTGATTTCTATAGGAATATAAATCAACAATTGGCATCAGGAGCCTCTCACTAGATAAACATAGTGTGTGATTTTGGGAATTTGATTTATTTGCCATTTTCTTCCATAGGTACTATGAATGCTCATATGGAAGGCGGTTCCACGACTCGCCCACCACTGCTTACTGGAACCAATTACTCTTATTGGAAGACCAAGATGAAGATGTTCATCAAGTCAATGGATGAAGATGCATGGCGCACAGTTCTGACTGGCTGGAAACGACCTGTTGCCACAGATGAAAAGGGAATTCAAATTGAGAAACATGAAAAAGACTGGAGCAAAACTGAACAGATTGCCGCAAATATGAATTCCAAAGCATTGAATGCCATATTCAATGGAATTGATATCAATCAATTGAAAATCATCTCAGCATGTAAGTGTGCCAAGGAAACATGGGAAAAATTACAAACAGCTTATGAGGGGACAACCTCTGTTCGACTATCAAAACTTCAGATGCTCGCTACTCGCTTTGAGGATCTTCGAATGGAAGAGAATGAAACCGTAAGCGATTTTAATTCAAAACTATGCGATATCTCGAATGAAGCTCAGGGGCTTGGTGAAACCTATCCTGAAGTCAAGCTTGTTCGTAAAGTGTTGAGATCAATGCCAGACCGATTCGCATACAAGGTCACAGCTATTGAGGAAGCAAGTGATGTGGACTCATTGCGACTTGAAGATCTGATCGGAAATTTGCAGACATTTGAGAACAAGTTGAACATCAGCAAAATAGATAAAGAAAGAAAAATTGCTCTACAAAGAGCTGCAGTGACAACTTCATCAGTGCGCCAAGTTCCCATGACAGCACTCGAAGTTAAGCTAACAAAATCCATGTCTCTAATAGCTAGAAACTTCGGAAAACTCGTGAATATGAATGGACATCCTATAAGTTTTGAAAGAAAACCCAGAAGTCCTACAAATAAGCAAGAAGTGGGGAAAGTGATTCGATGTAGAGAATGTCGAGGCTATGGTCATATTCAAGCTGAATGTGCAAGCAAGGAAGATCACTTGCTACAACCTGGAGTGACGATAACTCTGAATCTGATGATGACAGTGAAGCAAGTGATGCTGAAACAAGTATTGATTTTTGTGGTACATGCAGAGTCACTGAAGTGACACAGGGTGATGTCACATGCACTGAGCCACCACACCTCAGGTATGCTACTCGTAATCTCGAGAATCATAGAAATTTAAACACAATTTTTTTGCCCACATGAGAAGAAGATTCAGATGATGATGAAGAATACTCCATTGAGATGATTCAACAGCAACTGAATGATCTTCTAAAGCAGTGTCATGAGGTTGGTGATGAAAACAAGCGTTTGAAGGAGAAAGTAAAGGAACTGGAAGAGGAGAATGAAGCAGTTAAAGTCAACCTGAAGGCCAAAATCGATGAGCTTGAATTGGAAAATGAGGCACTGGAGGTAAAACATGATTTTTCTTTGAAAGATATTGACAATCTAAAAGAATTGCTGAGACATTTGCGAAACAACGATTGCAATAAGACAAGGCAGATCAAGAAAAATCCTCCTCCAATGAAAAATATTGAACCCTGCCTCAACCTGAAGTGTGACAACTCCCCTGTCGCAACAACGTTAGAGGCGTCAGTCAGTAAGTTAAATCGCACTATGATTCTTCCTTCAAACAGGTTAGATGAAACTTTAAATGCCTATCCCTCAAATCCTGATAAACTTGGTCTTGGCTATATTGGGAGTAAGTTCGATGGTAAACCTAATCCAAATCGAAAAATTAAATTTGTGAATAATACTGTCAAACCTACTCCACAACATGTTGCCTCACAGTCTTATACAAAAAAGTTTGTGCCAACTTGTCATTTCTGTCACAAAGTAGGACATGTTAGGCCAAAATGCTTTAAAAGATGGAAATTGATAAATAAGAGTTTAGCATATCAATCATCCAATTCCGCTGCATGGGATCACAATTCCCAAAGAAGATACTCTGATAATAAATGGATGAATAAGTATAATGCAAACTGTTTTCCTGCTATTCTTTCTTTAAAAGCATGTACTACGAACTCTTGGTATTTTGATAGTGGTTGCTCCAAGCATATGACAGGTGTACCTAATTACTTAAAGAACCTGCATAATGTGTCTGGTGGACAAGTTACTCTTGGTGATGGAAACAAGGCCTTTGTGAAAGGAGAAGGTAACTTGAATGTTGGAGGATTACCTAACCTTGACAACGTTCTGTATGTAGAGGGTTTGAAATCAAACCTACTCAGCGTAAGTCAGCTATGTGATCTATACGACTCAGTGTTGTTCACCAAGCGTAAGTGTGAAGTGTTTGATCGAAACCACAGGTGTGTTCTATCTGGTTATAGATCCTCTGATTATTGTTATAAAATTGATCAAACCAACCAAGTTGAATAGTGTTCCCTCGCCACCTCTAATATCATAGTCATAGATATGTGTTGTCATCGACTGGGGGATTTGAATTTTCAGAATCTAACACGAAATATCAATGCAGGTTGTGTGAAAGGTGTTCCCCAACTAAACTCCAATACACCAGATTTATGTGGCGAATTTCTAATGGGGAAACAAACTGAGAGTATTGGAAGAGAAATACCAGAAGACAAAATCACAGAAGTATCAGTGCCGACATCTTATGTCACAACTGAAGATGTTACCACTGGTAAAGAAGGTATGAAAACTTGCAATAAGCCCAAGGTTGACTACCAGGAAATGGTCAGGTATGTCTATCTCACTTCCACTGTTGAACCAAAAAACATCAAAGAAGCAATTCTTGATGAATTTTGGGCGTTAGCCAAGCTTGAGGAACTGGAGCAGTTTTCTCGAAATGACATGTGGGAACTGGTTCTGAGCAATGACAAGGTAAAGCAACTAGATGATGAGATATTTATCTCACAGAGCAAATATGCCAAGAACGTGGTAAGTAAATTTGGGTTGAAAAAGGCAAAGCCTTTAACAACACCAATGACCTCAATTGAGAAGTTGGGACGAGACTGTGACGGCACAAACGTTGATTCCACACTATACAGGAGCTTGATAGAAAATTTGTTTTATCTTTCTGCTAGTAGATATGATATTTGTTTCAGTGTAGGTATTTGTGCTAGGTACCAAGCAAGCCCTAAAGAGAGTCATTTGAGTGCTGTAAAGCGCATTATCCGATATATTAGTAGAACACCCAAATTGAGAAAATGGTATTCAAAAGATACTAACAATTGTCTTGCAGGGAACAGTGATGCTGACTGGACAGGAGATGTGGATGACAGAAGAAGCATCACAGGAGGTTGTGTCTACATGGGTAACAATTTGGTATCTTGGTACAGTAAGAAACAAAATTCCATTTCCTTATCTAATGATGCGTCTGACACTAGTAGAAAACCGGCCACAGGCGACGAAATTTTGCGACGAAATTAGGTATTTGGCGACGAAATTAGGACACTTGCGACGATTAATGTTTCGTCGCAATGGAGGTCCAAAATCGACGCCAATGTACCCGTCGCAAAGGCTGCGACGAAATCAACAGTTCGTCGCCAGAGGAGCGACGAATTCAGATTTCGTCGCCAAAAGTCGATTTTATCTAATAAATTAGATTTTTTGTTTGCGACGTTTATCTACACAATCGTCGCCCTTTTTGGCGACGTTCTTATGTGTTCGTCGCAAAATTAAATTTTCAACAAAATAAAATAAGAATATTAGCGACGAAATTGATAGATCGTCGCACAGATTTGCGACTGTATTTCTCTGTTCGTCGCCAATATTGGCGACGCTTTCGTACTATTCGTCGCAAAACCTAATTCTATTAAAGCAAGATTTACGACGAAATATAGTACATCGACGTATTTTATTTGCGACGAAAATTTTTATATTCGTCGCAAATGTTATTGTACAGTTTTATATATATATATATATATATATATATATATATATATATATATATATATATATATATTAATTTTACAATAAATTACCTATAAATAATTATTAATTTTACTAAAACAATTAACCTACTAAATTAAATTACACAGTAATTTTAAAATTAAAGTCTACATAAAATTAAATACCAAGTCAACAGTACATATATGAATCTAGAATTACATAAAAACTTAGAAAAATATTGTAGCATTACAAAATGAGCTCACTTCGTCTCGTGCTTTGATCTTTTCCGTGCTTTGATATTTTCCATAATACACTCTTCGTAAACTCTTTCCAAGTCATCCTGCAAATACAAACAAATAATCATAAATTCATAAATTAATCAAAAAATTGGGCAGCATAACAGCTATTGTATGGACATACCAAAAAAAATATCAATACGTATAGAAAACACATCAACCAATTCAACATATATACCAAACAATATAATAGATCAAACACACAATACCAAAACAAAACCCACCAACTAATTCAACATACAAAACAATTAAGGATGAACTTACCGCAATATAAAATAAACATGAATATAATCCGAAAAATTTAACAAAAAAACATATAAGACTAGACTTACATATTCATGAGACCACCCACTAATACTAGTTCGATCCCAATGGTGGTCGGTAGGGATTTTCATTCGGGATTCTCGGCATTTATCAGCCTGATCTGTTTGGTATCCCTTCCAAATGAAATTATAAACATGCCCATTGTCATTCACATCATGTTTAGAGGTTGCCATTTCATTCTCATACACACATATATTCAGCACAAACATACACAAAAGCAGTACACACATACACACTAAATCAACACATACACACAAAATCAACACACACATACACACTAAATCAACACATACACAAAATCAGCACACACATACACACTAAATCAACACATACACACAAAATCAGCACACATACACAAATATCTGAACCACCACTCTCATCGTGTTCCACATTCGGATCAACTTCCTATACGACCAAACATAAATTAATCCCATATATAATATCAACCATTTCATGTATGAACACGGCGATTTCCGAAAAACGAAAATCTGTTTTTTTCTTTTCCGAATGCTTGGCCAAATATAATCCACACAGGGCAAAAATGTAAAGAGGGACGAACCAATACAATGCCTTGTAGCTGTCGGAATTTATTCGATAAAAATTACATCTTGAAATTCGGTGACAACCCATTTACTGTACAGAAGTATACACAATCCCCAATCGAAACGAGTATCGACATCCATCAACATTGAGATGGTTAATCATAATATATCAAAGTAAGACCCAATCACAATAAATTCCAACCCAAACAAACAGACGATTACAACAATCAGAACCCTAATTTCAGGGGTTATGAAATTGGGGGAAATTGAGGAGTGATTAGCTAACATACCATGGCGTACAAACAAATCTCTCTAGGGCAAAATTAGAACATAAAGTTTTGATCTTTCAAGTAAAACAATAACCCAAAAATTGAGAGGGATACAGAAGAAGATAGATAAATATAATTCGTTAATTAACCTTACCGAGATCCGCCCGCCGGTTTAAACAGCACAACAACCGGAGAAGATGTTGTAAACTCACCGGAGAAAGTGAGAGAAATAATGAAGTTGATCTGCAAGAGAAAAAAAATCGACAGAGAGAGAGAGAGAGAGAGAGAGAGAGAGAGAGAGAGAGAGAGAGAGAGAGAGAGAGAGAGAGAGAGAGAGAGAGAGAGAGAGAGAGAGAGAGAGAGAGAGAGAGAGAGAGAGAGAGAGAGAGAGAGAGAGAGAGAGAGAGAGAGAGAGGGGGAGAGAGACGAGATACAGATGGAGCAGAGGTGGTGGTGATGGTGGAATGGCGCCGGCAGAACGACGACGCCAACGGCGACGCCGACGGCGGAGCTTCAACAGTATAAAAAGAGAGAGAGAGAGAAGGGGGAGTTGGGCAGTGGGTTGAAACGAATTAGGTCTTTATCCATTCTCTTATGCGACTAAATTAATATAATCGACGCGAAAATTAAATAAAAATAAAATCTTAAATTAATTTTGCGTCATTTTTAAATGAATCGTCGCAAAAAAATAATACGAAAATTAAATCGGTTGAAACCTTTCTGTATTCGTAGCACCCTGGGCTCGAGAATTTGGGGATGTGAAAACTCTTGCGACAATTTCGATAAATATTCGTCGCAATATTAATTACGAAAACATTAAAAAGAAAAATAATTTATTCTAAATGCGACGTTTTGTGAAATCAACGCAAATAGAGCAGGGGAAAAAAGTAATTTAAACTCCTTGCGACGATTCCTCTGATTTCGTCGCAATAATGTAATTTAAAAATATATATTTTTTTTACTTTGTGCGACGTTTGTCGTTTTTTCGTCTAAAAAATATGTAAAAATAATTTTTTTTTCCCGTTGCGACGTTTCTGAGAACATTCGTCGCCATTTGGCGACGATATTGTACTTGCGTCGCAAAGGTTTTGAGTCAAAAGCGGGATTTAAACCGTTGCGACTAATCCAGTCAAAATCGTCGTAAATATGCGACGATTCGTATTTAGTCGCAAATTTAAACGTCGCCAGAACTGTGTTTTGGCCTAGTGTGAGTACATAGCTGCAGGTAGTTGTTGCACTCAACTTCTTTGGATGCAACATATGTTAAATGACTATGGCTTTCATGAAAAACTCTTGCATATCTTATGTGATAATGAAACTGCTATAAATATCTCAAAAAATCCTGTCCAGCATTCTCGAACCAAACACATAGATCTTCGACACCATTTCATCAGGCAATTAGTTGAGCAGAAACGTGTGACTATAGATTATGTGTCCACAGACAATCAACTAGCTGGTATTTTCACAAAGCCTCTTGATTTCCTTAGGTTTGATTCCTTGCGTAAAGAGCTTGGAATTTGCCATGTGCAAAACTGAATTTTCTATGATAGTGCAATTAATACTTGTGTCCGGATTGCACTTGATTTTTTTTCGGACATTATATGTGTCACCTGCTCATGTGACAGCATTTTTTTTTTGGAACAGTAATGATGGGAGTTTTCATTTTGACTAATGGTTGTGTGTTAGTTTTTGTGAATTAATTTGTGTTTTCACAGTTAGCCATGATATAAGTGTGATGCCCCCTCTATCGGGAGTGATCAATGTCTATGACCTCATTCATCTCAAAGATCATACCTCTATTGGAAGAATTATGCTACCGCATATGCATTCCTGACTTCTATTTAAAATCTATGTGGATTCTTAAGGAGGTTGCTCTCCTAATGTCTGCTTGAACATCATGTCAAAAAAAAAAAAAAAAAAAAAGTTGGGATCATATTCAAGCATATATTAGCGAAATTCTCCTTGAAGTTCACGATAGAATTGCTGTGCTAATCGCATACGCATTCATAACTCTAATAAAATTACCTAATTTATGGTTTCTTGAGTATGGTCGTAGGGTTATAGTTATATCGTGCATCCAAGAGTTTGCTCGGTGGCCTTCTATTGTGATTCGCTTTAAGATTATCAAATTAATTCATGAAAACCAAGCCCTCAACTTTTAATCTTGTGATCTTCTTGATTTTCCTTTCCTTAAAAAGATGTGATTTTTTTTCTTTAAAAAAATAAAAAGTAAAAAATAAAAAATAAAAAATAAAAAATTTCTCTTGTTTTTTTTGGGCTTTGTGAATTTTTTGGCTCCTAGTTGTCTCTGGCCACGTGGCTATGGCCATGTCATCTGCCTTCTCTACTTTTTGATGATTCGTGTGGAGAATATCTTGTTTGATATTGGTCACGGATTTTGTGGGATCTTCTTCTGATTTGAAAATATCCGGTTTTTGAAGAGTCCTCTATTTTTCTGCCTCTTTTCTCGATCCCTGTGCTTTAAATATCTGCCCCTTCTAAGGTTTCTGAGTTTATTGTGGCCTCTAGCTGACTGTTGACACATGGCTGTCTTGATACGTGATTTGTTCGAATCTCTGAAGAAGCGTTTGGGAATATACTTCTGTTTTATCATGATGTTTGTGGGATTTGTTATCATCCTATCTTTTGGGCTTCTAAGATTTCTCAATATTTCTTATACTCAACCTCTCTCTTCAATATCTCTCTATGTTTTTCAAAAGCTACTCGTCTCTTCTCTTCTCTGTGCTCCACAGATTTACTATGGAAAGAGACAAATCAGTCGAGGGGTCTGAAATGAGGAAGCACAAACAACTGTGCATCGCCATCCGACAAGAAGTCTGGAAAAACGTCAAGGTCTGTGACGACAACAGTGGTCTCTGTAGTTCCCATCTCTCTCGTGGCAACAATACCGGAGCCCATACACATGTGCAGTCACCAGCCCCAAGCTCCAAATAAGGTGTTGTCTCTGATCCGCTGGACAATATTCTTGTTGAAAGTGATCCTTCCATGTCTAAGCCAGAAGATGTTGGTGGTGAAGACCATGTCGCAATTGAAGAAGCTACTTTCAGCGCCCATGCGCAGCTTCCCCGTCCTCAAAGGAAGTTTGAGAGCATTTATGGTCTTGAGGATGAGTCATACGCTTCGAGTGGCCACCAATCTCTTTCTGAGCAGACCTATGCTACCTTTACTACCGTACATCCAACTAGATCTGAGTCATCAGAATCTTCACCAAAGTTCTAAATTTCTGTTGATTCTCCATTGTTGGGTCTCGCGGTTACTTGCGAAGGGAAATTTTTCAATGTGGCTCCTGAACTGAATAAAGATTTTTACTGGTGTAAGAATCAAATCACTGATAAGCCCTTTGTGTCAATGACACCATAGCTGTTGTGATCATTGTATGCTGGGTTTCTCTGAAGCGTCACTCATGCTGTTTTTATCAACATTGGGGAGTACATCTTTGCTCAAAATGGAGCTCTTACTAACTCTCGCAGAAAAAGTTGGAGTGATTCCTACCTTTTTCCGTCGTTGATCTAACATTCCTTGTCACCACATTTCTTAGAGATTGCTCTCAAGGCGAAGAAGAGTTCACTTAATGAATCTGGGCCCATGACATCTGGTTGCCCTGAAATTGGTTGTATCAATGAGAATTTTACGAAACTTCACGTGAGCATTACATCTGTAACTCCAGCCTTGATCAATGACGTTTATAAGTGTCCAAACGGGGTTACTTCCAAACTTTTGTTTCTAAAGATACTCTGGCCTCTGTACTCACTGCCAAAGTGTTGGAAAAATGGCCTGGTCCGAAATCTGTTTTTCATGTCTCTAAGCTGGCTCAGCTGTATTCGGTCTTGTTCAAGATAGGCATTTCGAACTGGTTTCCCACTAACCACAATGCCACTCTCAATCCCACCCAAGCTGAATTTTTTTGATGCATCACTCATGACCATAAAATCAATATTGGTGATTTGATTTTCAATCAGATGTGTGTGTTAGCCAATTCCCGAACCGAGCGTGAGCATCTGTCGTTTATTTCTCTGATCTATCAGCTCTTGATCAAACAAGGCATGCCCACTCGTGATGCCACTCTATTGGATCCTCCTGGCCGTCCAATCACTATCCATGGTAAGGTCATTTCTGAACATTTTGCTGATCTGCCTCCTGTCGATCCTTCTGTTGTTCAGACGGCCCCTCGCGCGAAAAAGGCTCCCATTGTCTTTGTCTCTGTTCCGCCGCCAGTTGATGTGGTCACCAAAGATGCGCTCACCCGTTTTCAGGAGTCTATCCAAGCTCAGCTTGCTCAGGGATTTGCGTCTATTCAGGACCAGCTGCTTAAGACTTTGGCACAGTCTGGTCAGAAAGGGGGAGTAGCAACAACTCCAGATGCACCAGCAAGAACTGCCATACACAAGGGATAAACTTCAATGATGAAGCAGCAGTCCACAACCGCAGGCAAAGCGTCCAGCAGTTCTCATGATAATGATCAGCTCTCGGACTATGATTACTAAGGGAAGTTTCCTTAGTAAAACCTTTTTGTTGTTCTTTTTGAACTGCTTAAATTTATGTCTTATTTAGGAATGTTATAGTTATGATTACTTTCATGTCTTTTGGATATCACCTTGGTTATCTTTATTTTGTGCCTTGGGCTTGTTTTGGATAACTTTGTGCTGCAGGAAATTTCTCGATAACTTTGTGCTGCAGGTAATTTCCCTATTACAACATCTATGTGTTGCAACTTCTATTGTACTAACAGTATCTGATGCAGGGAGAATTAATCATTCCTGCAAAGAGAGAAAATCTCATATGCAGGGGGAGTTCTTGTTAAATATGGATTCTGACCAATCTATGCCAAAGGGGGAGATTGTTGGCGCCATATTTCCGGCTATTGAAGATCGGGGAAATCCGCCAAGTTTTGGAATTAAAAGATTGGCAAAGATTTGTTTTCCATATATATTTTGGAATTTATTAGAGTCATATTCTTATAATACTTCTATTAGGACTTAGATTTATTTCCATGTATTTTATTCTAGTTAGGTATCTTTTGTACTTATCTAGAATAGAAGTAGAAATCAACTAGGATTCTATTACCTAGTTAAATAGATTTCTTGGGCTTCAAGTTAGGTCTTAGGGCTTATTTTCGTGGCTATATAAACCTCCAAGACATACAAGAACCGTGTGCATTATTTGGGTGAAAAACCACTTCATAGCATCGAAGTTTTGCCAAGGCGTTCTGCGGAGCAGGACTGTGCCATCGTTGCACTGTGCCAACATATACAGATTTGCTGTATAGATCTCAAGGGAGATCAGCCGCGTTTTCTGAAGGGAGTTCAGGCTTGAAGAAAGTTCAAGGCACGCGGAGTGGAGCTGCTAGAGAGAGACACGGAGTTCGAGTTGTGTACAAGAACGGCATATTACATAAAGAGGGAGTCTTTAGTGTTTTTAATAAGTCCTATTAATGTACACTGTAAATCTGAACTAGTGAAATCGTGTTTGCAGGTCCACGTGGATGTAGGGCACATTTGTGTCTGAACCACATTAATTCCTTGTGTTCATTTATTTGCTTTAAGTAGTTTATAACTGTATTAACACAAGAATTATAGTTGTAACCGAATACTGTTTCCACAACTGAACTGTTACAACTTAGGTTAATTGATTTCTATAGGCATATAAATCAACAGATACGAAATGAAGAAATCAACAAGATGATTTTATGCTTAAGAATGCTTGGATTTGAATGAGTGAAATGAATCTTGCAGCTTGCAGGTGGGTTTATTTATAGGACGTGAGAAGTTGTGTGCAAAAGACACAACTTTCTGGAATAAGCATGAGCTGAAAAGGTACAAATCTTTTCGCAGGGACTAAACACCAATTCAACTTAAACAGCCACATTTCAGATGATGAGGCACCACTTGGCGTGCACGTGGACATACATGTCCGCCTACTGGACGATGATGTTTTCTGATGACACATGTCGTGCTCTGATTAGATAAAAGTATTAAATTTGAATTAATTAATTAAGCGCCACTTGGTGTGCACGTGGACAGACATGTCCGCCTACTTGACAATGATGTATCCGATGACACATGTCGAGCTCCGATTAGCTAAAAGGTATTAAATTCGAATTAATTAATTAAACGCACAAAACATAATTAATTTTGAGTCCAAAATAATCTCAACTCCGATCCAATGTGGGATGGTGCCATGAGTAATTATATTCTTATCTATGCACGTTCAGCTATTTAAATTGTTCTCGTCAAAGCTCTTTTTCCAACGTGAGATGGTATATTTTCACCTTTTTAAGTGTCTATCTTTATGCATTAATTTCTTATTCACTTAAAGTCGGTTTTGAGAAATTAACTACATTAGATCCATCTACTCGAAACATAAAGCGCAAATTTAAATTCTATTTTCAATTTCGATAAACGCAACCCACTTAAATATTATTAAAGTTGAGTTTGACATATCACAAGGATCAGAATATATATAGCAAAGGCTAAACAATTATAATCACAATTACAATTTTCTTCTTTCCAATTATTTTACATCTGCCCAATGTAACAAAATTTTCTCTCAGGACATATTGGATTCAGTATTAATTATATTATTTGCAAGAAAAAGTGAATGATTAAGATTGATTGATAGCTGACATCAGCACTCCAGTGAGAACTCTTCCAGCCATATAAGTACTTCATTCCTCTTTGAGAATCAGCACATTCGAAATAAAAGACAAGAGTATAAGTAAACTGTATATGAAATAAAATAAATAGTTCTCAATATTATTTATTTTATTTCTTTTTCTTACCATTATAAAGCTCCGAGTCCTGCCCGGATCGTTGTATCGAGCTAACAAACAACCCTCTTTAGCTTTCAGACCATCGTTTACGAGATTCAAGCGCAGATATTTTTCCTTCTCAAGGGCAATTTGGTCACTTGGTTTTCCGCTGAATTTCGATACCGCAGCTATACCTCCTTCCACCTTCCTCAAGCCAATTTCCGCTTTGTTCGGAGCTGGCAAACTGATTTTAAAATTCAAATCAAATCAAAAAAATTAAAATTTATTGTCCAATATGTTATAGATACAATAATTAAAAAAAAAATCACCTATTTAAATCTTTCTCTGATGGAAGAACTATCTGAATCGAAACTTTGGATACTTCGGGATCAAATGTCTGCGTAAATACCGGTGTCGTCATTTTTATTTTCTCTGCCGCAGAATTCTTCCCAAATATGTACCTTATAGATAGAATCTGTATATTAGATTACGCGCGAATACGTAAGAAAAAAAAGAAAAAAAATATTCTTGAATGTGAGTTGTGTTATGAAATTCTTACCCAGCCACTGAATTGAAGCCACTCGAACCAGACAACTTGTCACCATTTGTTTCGACAACAATAAACGGGTCGTATTTTCTCACCTGCACATTCTCTTACATATCAAATATAGCAACTCTAATGATTTATCTCAAATTATTCATCATATATTAAAGCTTCGGTACTTTTATAAGTAACGTAAAATGCAATCGAACAATGATATATAAGCAAACGACCTCGTAATTTGCTGTTCTTTTCAGTATTTGATATTTCGGTGTTTCCAGGTCAGGGGTCTTGTAGTATCGCAACTGCAATAATAAAACTTTTCGAAAGTAAAAAAAATAATAATTTTATTAAAAAACTAAATAATTGTATTATCGAGTACTTTCTTTCGGTCTTACCTGCTTTGCAACGTCCACTAAACCTTCCACGGAAAAGTAATCGTTGTTCTTGATTGAATCCCAATAGTCCTTTATAAATGAAGAAAATGTAACGAGATTTGGTTTCGTGATAATAAATATTAGTATTATAAAAATTTCTTGCACGATGAAGGGCCGATAAATATCTTACCACATGGCTGTTGAATTTGTTCGTTTCGGGGTTGATTCCCATGACAGAAGTACCTGTGAAGACTAACTCGGGTTTCCAAGGTACAAGTACAAATTTCATTACCATAGTCCACCTTGTAGTTATTTCATAAGCTCCTGTCTACAGAAAAATCAATCAGTCGAGTAAATGAAATTTCGTCTCTGAATTAATTTTGATGCAATAATATAAAACCTCTGTTAAACCCGAGTTTGACTAAATAAACTAGTATAACTCTTTAAGCCTCAATTTTAGTACGACGAGTTTTTTTTTAAAGCGACTGAATGATATTCAGAGTTAACAATACGATACATCTCATAGTACGATGAATTCATCGATTTTTGTTGCTTTTTTTTTTTTTATATCGAAGCAGATAACTCATTTCTGCAACGAGGAATATCCCATATGTTTTAGATATTAGTGTTCCTACATATTTTATAAACTTCTCCATGAGTTCGACATTCTTTTACGAAATATAATTTAATCCACATTTTCAATAAACAAGATGAAAGAGCACAAACCATTTAAATCGAAACCTTATTCCTCATTTTTTCACTCAGATTCAAAACATAGGTTGATGGCATTGATTAATTAAACATAAAAAAATGTTTGAACATTCCTATAAAAGAAATTTACGGAACAATAAAAACGGGATGAGATAAATAAACAAGAATTGATCCCATCCCATATTCATTTAATAGTAAAAAGCTCTTTTGAGCTTTCATCTATTTAATCTTTAGCATAATCAACATTTGAAAGTACATGATTGTAGTATTGAGTTAATTATCAACACGCGACATCATCTCTGACTTCAGCGTCGGAGCGTAATCGCCGGGGAATCCCCTGACGTGTCACATAGTGTGTTAAGGCCCCGTTTGGTTGCCAAGATAAGCCATGATTAACTAAATAGTTGGACTTAATTTGATGTTTGGTGTCCTCAATAAATTGGTGAGTCGACCTGCTAAAATTATATAATCATGGCTTATCTTGGGTTATCTTGCCTTCTAATGAGGTTTTTTTGTTGGACGTTTCAATCTCCAATAAAATAATTGGGTCACATTAGATTATTTAATTTTATCTTGGCTAATCTTATCTTGCCAACCAAATGGGGCCTAAGTGTTTTTGCAGGAAAGACGAACAAGCATCGCATACTTAGATCAACGCGAAGCTCGTGGCATTCGAATCCCGATTCCTAAACAATTCTCCAATTCGTCCTTTGAACTACTAATTTCAAGTGATCCCACATCGATATACAATTCAACCACTATAAATTAATACAGTTGGGACTAGGAAAATTCTATTAATTTAGCGAATTAATAAATTATCGAGTTAATAATTTAACACGTTTTCACCGAGTGGGGACCGAGTCAGTCACAATTTCTATTGTATATATTAGTTGAGGCACAATTTCAATTCTAGTTGCTTAAAATTATAAATACATAGTACCAAATCAGTCACAAAATTACCGAATTTTCAACTTTCAAATTCCCAGAATATGTAACAGCACAATTAATTTCAACTCTTTGCTGTTTCTACTCTCTCTCACACACACACACACACACACACAAAGGAATTAAGGTACCTGCTTAACCCAGTGGAGCTGAAAATCAGGGGTGAAGAGCTTCCTCAACATAGCAATATTAAAGAGGTAACCACTTATACTGTCGTGCTTCGTAATTGGGTCTCTGAATTTAACACGATCATCGTACGCCGTCCGATCAATACCTTGGTCGTCGAACAGATGGGGGAGATCCTCGTACAAGAAATCCACCATTTTTTGGGCGTCAAAGGTTTTAGGTCTTGTCGTGGGGCTCTCTTCTTGGGCTACGCTTCTCAGCCTAACCGCCCACTTCAAATTTGTCGCCTTTAATTGGTGTGTGATTTTGTGTGGTGCTAAGTTTTTTATTTGCCGGATATGGTTCGATTGTGAGAGGAAGGAGGTGGTGGTGGTGGTGGTGGTGGCCGGGAGCTGGCAGAAGTTGGTGGTGGCTCTCCGCCGCGGCGTGGTTGGCCGTGGAATGGCGGCGGGGAAATATGAGGTTGTCATTTGTGGTAGTGAACGTCGTTTTGGTAGTTACTACTCTTTTATTTTGAGGGGGGATATTTTTTTTTATGGATATGATTTAAATGATGATTAATAAGACATCGTTATGCGCTTTTTGTACATCAAACAAATAAAAAGGGAATTGCTATTTGCGGTTTGAAAATTACTATTTGCGGTTTATAACAAAACCCCCCAAAAAACACTTTATTGCACTAAAACTCAAAAATTTTCCAAAAAAGCCAAAACCCCCCCCAAAACGCGTAAAAGCCCAACTTGGGCGCCCATTCATGCAATGCACGCCCAAGTTGGGCGTGCAAGCTGCATTTGGGCGCCAGAGTTGGGCGTCCAGTGCAATTTTTTTTTTTAAATGTTCGAACGCCCATGATGGGCGCCCAAGGCGTGTACGAACACCCGGATCTTGGGCGTTCGAAAATTTTTTTACGGAAAAAAAAAGCCCTACAATCGATTTGTAGGGCTTTTTAACATGAAATTGGTTCCGTAATCGATCTACCCAATGCATATTACACATAAAAGAGTTGAAATTACATCAAAAAATCGAAGCCCAACCCTTCTTCAAGCTTGATTTCGAATTTTCGATTTTTTTTTTTTTTTTGCTATTTGCAGTTTGGGGGTTTTTTTGATTTTTTTGAAAAGTTTTGGGGGATTTTGTGAAAAACCGCAAATAGCAATTTTGTAACCGTAAATAGCATTTCATAATAAAAAACAAAGTTTATTCAAAATTCATATATATTCGGCGAATATCTCCGTCAGCTCTTCTATAATTTATTATTTTTTCTCGAATTATAGTGGTGAATCGTGTTATAACTTATAACTAGTACTTCACCCGTGCGTTGCACGGTGTCAGTTTTGAAATTAGAAAAAATAGTAATATGAAAACGATTATCTCTTTATAACGTCACGAATTCAACTAAAACAAAATGGAAGGAAAAAAAAATAAATAAACTTTATCTCTTAATTCAGAGTTGTAACATATGAAATTCAATTAAGTATACAAAGAAAAAAACGCGAAGCGCGGAAAACACGATATGAAGATTAAGTGAAATCATTTAAAACATATGGTATAGCTCTATTTCGTGGAATGCAAACTACTACACCATGTCAATCTTCTGCAAACTAACTAACTTAACAACAAATACGGTAGCAGAGAAGTAACACAATAGATATTCAAGTAACCTGCAAGTTTATTACTAACGGTGTTCAATTAGTGATGTACATTACTCAAACAACAATACAACTTATAAAATATTGCAAAAGAGATAAGATGTACACGCCATTATTGATACTAATGCTGATACCAATACCGATACCAATACGGATACCAATACTGATACCAATATTGATACTAATATCGATACTAATATTGATACTAATATCGATACTAATACTAATATTGATACTAATATTGATATTAATATTAATACTAATAATGATACTAATACTAAGACCATTACTAATCGCAATCCTACAAATGATAATCCTATTGTTAATCGTAATCCTACAAATACTAATACTAATATCGATATTAATACTAATACTAATATCAATACTAATACCAAAACTAATGTTAATACAAATACTAATACTAATACTAATATTAATACTAATGCTAATATTAATACTAATACTAATACTAATACTAATAGTGATATTAATATTAATATTGATATTCGTACTGATACTGATACTAATATTGATACTAATAGTAATATTAATATTAATATTAATACTAATACTAATACTAATACTAATACTAATACTAATACTAATACTAATACTAATACTAATACTAACACTAATACTAATACTAATACTAATACTAGTACTAATACTAATACTAATACTAATACTAATACTAATACTAATACTAACACTAATACTAATACTAATACTAATACTAGTACTAATACTAATACTAATGCTAATGCTAATGCTAATACTAATATTAATACAAATATTAATTCTAATACTAATACTAATATGTTATTTGTTAATGTTAATGCTAATTTACATGTACTAATGCTAATACTAATTTTTATGTTAATGCTATTCTGGATATGCTAATGCTAATTATAATTGTACTCTTAATATTATCCAAATCCTTATCCTATTTCTAATCTTATTCATAATACTAAGGGTTAACTGCAAAAAATCCCCTAAACTTTGGACGTTTTTGCGCTTTACCCCCTGAACGGAAAAAAGTTGCACGAGCATACCTAAACTTGCCAAATTGTTGCACCGATGAATAAAAAGTCCATTTATAGCAAAATTTATGCCTGAATTGCACACGTGCAACTCACACGTGAAAACACAGGGCAATTTTGTCAATTCACAATATTTTTAGAAAAACAAAAAAAGAAAAAAAAAAAAAAAAAAAAACAAAAAAGTAACCACAACCGGTCTTTTATTCCTCTCTTCCTCTTTTGCCGACGAACAGTGGAAATTTCAAAATTTCATTCACTCGCCTGAAAAACATGTTCTGAGAAGAATTGATGAAGTAATTATAACAAATATTAGCTATTTTTGATCCTCTTCTCCGTCGCCCATCTGTATGGGCTCGCCCTCACCGTTCTCACCAAACTCGCCGCTGCCGCCCACGGCTGACAAAACCGAGTTTTCAGGCCGTGCGATTGGGAAGGCGGCGGCAGCGGAGGTTGTCCACCGGTGAGGAATAGAGAGAGACGGTGTTCGTCGGAACGGAGGGCGGTGTGAATTTGGTGGAGCTGGATGGGTCCGCGGTGGTCGGGATTTGCTTCGCCACTAAGGTTGCTTGCTCCAAATCTGTAATTGACTGTAAATCCACTTCGTTTTCGTCTTTGAGACCACAAATATCAAAATCCGTCAGATATTGCAGAAAATTATACAGATTTGCTTGTGCCCAGAAGAAGAAAAAAAAAAAAAAAAAAAAAAAGAAAACTGAACTGTTATTGAGTGGGATTTGAAGGGCTTGATAAGATTTTGGAGTGGGATTTGAAGGGCTTGATAAGATTTCGGAGGAAGCTTTTGATTTAATCATCTACAGTTGTTACCATTTATGTGGAGAATTTTTTTGTAGGATTAATTAGTAATATGAATGAATGTATTTTCCATTGTAATCTGAAGAAATTCATGAAATTGCGTGTGAAATTTAATTTACGAAGCAGGTCAGAGTTGTTTATGTCTTGGGTAGGGTTTTTTTTTTCAAGGTGGTGGTGCGGTGGCGGAGCAGATGTGGTGGTGGTGTAAAAATCTCCCGTCCCCTGTTTGGCAGCAAGAGGAGAGAGGAAGAAGATGATGGGGGTGGCCACTTTTTTTCTTTTTCTTTTTTCTAGAATAAACGGGAGATAGAAAAGGGGGTGAGGGAAAATACTAATTTACCCCATCTATATTCACGTGCAACGCACGTGATTTTGATTCCGGTCAAAATTGGCCAAAAATGGACTATTTCTTAATTGGTGCTAAAAATAAGTAAGTTCAGGTATGCCCGTGCAACCTTTTTCCGTTCAGGGGGTAAAGCGCAAAAACGTCCAAAGTTTAGGGGATTTTTTGCAGTTAACTCTAATACTAATCATGATTCTAATTCTAATCATATTCCTAACACTAATCATAAGTCTAATCCTAACCCTAATAATTTTAATACTAATAATGCTAATGCCAATGCGAATGTTAATTCTTATTATAATTATATTCTGAATTCTAATCATAATTATAATCCTAATTCTAATGTTAATCATAATCCTAATACTAATACATGTCACTAATTGTAGTACTAATTATAATCATAATCTTAATTATAATTCTAATACTAATATTAATCATAATCCTTATCCTTATCCTAATATTAATTCTAAGACTATATTAATCCGAATCCTAATCCTAGTTTTAATACTAATACTAATTCAAAGAATATTAATTATAATCATAATTCTAATGCTAATACTAATCACAATCCTAATTCTGATTTTGTATTAATATTTTTTGCAATGATCTATTATTTTGTATCAAAAACAATTATATTCAATCTCGCAACCTTTATATCAACTTCCTTATGTGTGGTAGTTGAAGCATCCAAAAACACATATTAAATATATTAGAAATTAATATTTAATTATATTATCAAACTAACATTAAAATTATTTAAATTATGAGGGTATAAGCAAACGTTAAGACGTAAAAAGAACAATAATCGTTGTTAATAGGATAAATTATGAAAATCCTCATGAACTTTGGCTAAATTACGGAAAACACCCCCCATTTATCGGTAATTACCAAAATTTCGTCATGTTTGTTTCTATCTTACACGACCCCCTTAAGGTGTGATTTTTTTTTTGGAATCTTTTTTATTCCATGTAATATCCCAAAAAATGTGGATTTCATCCTTGTAGACGTGACATTTCTTTATCCTACTTTTTAAATACAAAAATTACCCTTAGGGGAGATAGTTGTAATATTAAAAGGTTGTGAAAGTGTTATTTAAGAAGAATAAATTAAGATTCCGTGTAATGTCTCCCTTATGGTAATTTTTGTCGCATGTGCAACGTAGAATCCGCATTTTTCGGGGAATATTCCATGTAATAAAAAAAACAAATCCATGAAAAGTCATACTATAAGAGCGTTGATGTAAGATGGAAACAAACATCATGAAAATTTTGGTAATTACAAATATGTGGGGGTGTTTTTCTTAAATTAGCCTAAGTTTAGAGGGTTTTCATAATTTATCCCTGTTAATATACAACTTAAATTGATTTACACAGATGCTCATTGTTAAGTGTATATTTTTACACTTTATCGTACCTTTTTATTTGGGCTTTTGGTGTGTTTTAATGATAATTGGTGCTTAAAAAGTTGATTTATTGTATTTTAGGTACAAATTGAAGAATTGGAAAAGTATGGGGTCAAAACTGCAATTTTGGAGAAAATATGGGCCAAAAGTGAAAAAATCAAAATTCTGAAGATTTAAAGCTCGGACCCCCGTCCCAGTTTTAGTGCAATTCGTGGGACCCCCGTCCGAGACTCCGAAGTTGCGCAGAAAAGGGATTTTAATTGCACAA